GGATGCTTTGATTTTGAGTTCCTGCATAGCAGGGGGTTGGACTGGATATCCCTTGTGGTTTCTTCCAACTCTATGATTCTAATTCAATTTATATGCCACCTTTCTCACAGCACAGGATTCAAGACAGCTCATAACTGTTTAAAACAAGGTACAATTGAAAAAAACTTCAAAAAAATGCACAAGTTAAAAGCAGTTTAAAAACATTTAAAACATAATAAAATAAGAATACAACATCCCCCATCTGCATCAGCTGCAACAAATTAAAAACCAAATGCTTGCCAGTGGAAAGACAGGAGGGAGGCAACCAATCAGACTTCCACAACTTAGGAGCGGCCACTAAAAGGATTGTATTCTATGTCCTCACCAAATGTTTCCATGATTGTGGTGGAACTGAGAGAAAGCCCTCTCCTGGTACTACATACTTGATCTTGTTATTAAAGTTAAGCCTACATGGCAAGTAAAGCAAATGCAGAGTTGAATTCTAGACATAGCAATCATTTGACAATTTCTGTCTATACTACTATGAATGGACATCTGATTATTTACCCCGAACAAGATTTTAGCAGTGCTACTTGAAACTATGCCTTTTTGTAGCAGAAGCTACAGAAGGCAGCAGACCTGTATCCTTTCATTCTCATGTTTATGGCTACTTTGAAGAGAACTACAATACAACAGTATGTACCCAGAAACTCTTCTGAATTCTTTGTCCCCAGCCAGTTGTTTGTTTGTTTTTTTACCTTAGAGATTGCATGCAATTTGACTAGAGTTCCAATAAAGACTGAATCTCTCCCAGTGTATTTGTTTCTGGATGGGAATTATTCATAAATATGTCTCTGCAATAGGAATATAATTATCTTTGGTACTTTTATGCTGGTTGGTGCAGCAGCACAGTTAGTGTATAAAATAAATGGTCACAATAATAAAAATTCAAAGCATGAATCTAGGCACTGTATTAGTTTTTGGCCTTCTGGCTGAGATTAAGCCTAGGCTATTTCCAAAATATTTAACATTGCACCCAGCTGTTAACTTGAAACTCAATTTGTCTTTCATTTCAGCAACTCCAGCAATTTGCATCTCTTAAGTCAACCAGGCATACGTTTTTTAGTAGCTTAGGGACAGAGGAAGCTGCCTAAAAATGCATCAGTTTATTGGTCCATTAAGCCTGTGACTGGCAGCCATTCTGCAGAGTTATAGTAGGATTCTTTCCTGTTCCTGTCAGAGGTCCATGCTATTCAGTACCCTGTCTTTAAGAACCTGAACACAGATAAAAAGTCAGAGGAAGAAGCATAGGAATATAGGAAGCTGCCTTTTAAATCAGAATCATGGTGCATCTGGCACAACATCATCTCTGACACTTGCTCTCCAGGGCTCAGGAAGGATTCTTTCTAAGCCCTAAGTGGAAATCCCTGATAATATAGGTTGAGACTCCCTTATCTAAAATGCTTGGGACCAGAAGAAGTTTGGATTTTGGATTTCAGGGTGGTGGTGGAATATTTATATATACATAAGGACATATTTTGGAGATGGGAACCATGTCTAAACATTAAATTAATTTATTTTTCATATGTACCTTATACACATAACCTGAAGGTAATTTTATGCATGAATATTTTTAATAATTTTGTGCATGAAACAAAGTTTGCATACATTGAACCATCAGAAAGCAAAGGTGTCACTATCTCAACCACTTGTGGACAGTTTTGAATTTTGGAGTATTTCAGATTTTGGAATTCTGGATAAGGGACTGGAGATTATCGCATTAGCTTCGCTACCAGGATAGACCCAGGATGTAATTTTCTTAAAGCAGATCTTATTGCATTTACCCATCGCTGGGCAGTATGCAACCCATATGCAAACCGGTCTTCTCTAGCAGTTTTTCAAGAATGGGATTTTCTCATTATTGAAAAGATGCAGGACAAGCCCAGAGATGCCTGGGTTGCATACAGGCGAATACTGCTCAGCAATGGGTGAATGCGGTAAGATCCGCTTTAAAAAGTTACATCCCAGGTCTATCCCAACAGCGAAGCTAATGCTATAATCTCCTCAGCCTGTATTTGTACTTTCCAATCTAAGTAGTAACAAGACCCAAATCTTCCAAAATCAGATGTGATTCAGTGTGGTCAGGGTGATAATAGTGAGTCACTAGGCTTATATATTTCCCCATCTCCTCCAAGTACATACAGTGGGCCCTTGTTATCCGCTGGGGTCTGGTTCCAGGGCCCCCCATGTATAACAAAGTCTGGGGATGCTCTAGTCCTAATAAATACAATGGCACAGCAAAATGGTGTCCCTTATATAAAATCATATAAAATGTGATCTAAATAATACTTAAACAGAATTTACTGACAACATAAGAGGCAGATTTGCATTACTAAGCATAATAGACCGAGAACCAGAGCAACTATGATCTGAAGCTAGGGACATAATAAAAAAAGAATGTAGACAGACACTTTCAATAAACAAAAAGAAAGAGAAAAAAAAACATGGATGAGAGAAAAAGCACTACAAACAATAATGAAAGGAAGAGAAGAAAAACAACAGTATCTAACAGTATAAGGGCTTGTGCAGAAAGATAAAGAAAATTACTACAACTACCAATGGAGAGAAATAGAAAACAACAACAAAAAGGGGAGAACAAGAGATCTATTTCACAAGATCTGGGAAATCAAAGGAAAATTCAAACCAAGGACTGTAATGATTTATGACAATAAAAATAACATATTTCAAGATCAAGAAGGAATAAAAAGACATTGGATGCAATACACAGAAGAATTATATGAAAGAGATGGCAAAATGAAGGACGCATGGAACAAAGATCCATATGGAGATGAACCCCAAATTCTAAAAAGTGAAGCCATGTTCTAGAAGAGTTTCTGATGTTTTGCCAGCATCTGTGGCTGGCATCTTCAGAGAATACTGGAATGGAAGAGATATATATACTGTGAGACCCTGGGTAGGAAGGAATGATTCCTATGTAAACTGTATTGTTCTGTTGTTGATGGCAGGGCCTCAGAGTGGGAGGATATGCAAAGGAGGATTATTATCTGCTAATTGGTGATCATTGTCTGCTGGGAAAGCCCTTG